TCTTGAGTGCTCTTTTAGCACCTCGATCATCCAGTGGCCCCACTGACTGTTTGGCAGGCTTCCTGCTTCTGATGTACTTTTTTTTTTTTTGCTATATAGTTTTTGAGCCTTTTGCTAGTTGCTCTTCAAATTCTTTTCTGACCTGCCTAATTACCTTTTGCATTTGACTTGCCAGAGTTTATGCTTCTCTCTATTTTCTTCAGCAGGATTTAACTTCCAATTTTAAAGGGTGTCTTTTAGCCTCTAACCCACCTCTTTTACTCTCTTGTTTTTAGTCATGGTGGCATTTTTTTTATCCTCTTACTACTTTGTTTTAATTTGGGTATGCATTTAATTTGAACCTTTATTCTAGTCTTTTTAGAAAGTTCCCATGCAGCTTGCAGGCATTTCACTCTTGTGACTGTTCCTTTTAATTTCCATTTAACTTGCTTCCTCATTTTATTGTAGTTCCCTTTTTTGAAGTTAAGTACGAGTGTTGGGTTTCTTTTATTACCTCCTCCCCCACCCCCGCACACACACGGATGTTACATTTAATTATATAATGCTCGCTGTTTACAAGTGTTTCAGCTATATTCACCTATTGGACCAGATCCTATGTGCCACTTAGGACTAAATCAAGAATTGCCTCTCCTCTGGTGGGTTCTAGGAGTAGCTGCTCTAAGAAGCAGTCATTAATGGTGTCTAGAAATTTTCTCTCTGCATCCTGGACTTCAATATCTTACCTAGAAGCCTAAATGTGGCCTCCAGACCCTCTTTCCTCCTTTCTCTATGTCATTAATACCTATATGTATCACAACCACCAGCTCCTCCCCAGCACTGTACATAAGTCTGTCTAGCGCAGTGGGGGGGATAGCTCAGTGGTTTGAACATTAGCCTTCTAAACCCAGGGTTATGAGCTCAATCCTTGAGGGGGCCATTCAGGGAACTAGGGTAAAAATCTGCCTGGGGATTAGTCCTGCTTTGAGTAGCAGGTTGGTCTCAATGACCTGCTGAGGTCCCTTCCAACCCTGATAGTCTAAGATGTCTCAATAAATCCACAGCTTTCATGCCCAGCAAGCCATTCACTGTATGGTTCTCCCAGTCATCACTAAGCCAGCTATTTATGTTTCTAATGTTTGAATCCCCCATTATTATCACCTGTCTCTTCCTAATAACTGGGATTCCCTCCCAAGAGGTATCCTCAGTGCGAGAGGATGCCATGATATGGAAGGAGGATGTCCACTGTGGGACCATTTCCCTCTGTTCCAGTTTGATGTTCTCCTTCCAAGATTTTCATCCTCCTAAACACCACAGAGGCTGTCAGACTGGGGCAGGGACCACTCTACTGTGTCCCAGAAAGGCTCATCTGTGTACTTCTGTGTCCCTTAACTCCTCCGGTTCAGCCTCTCTGGTTTCAAGAGCCCATACTCAGTCACTGAAGGCCATGACCTTTTTGCACCTGATGCACACATATGCTACCTGCCCACAAGGTAATCCTACATCCTGAATTCAATGCAATAAACTGGATAGTCCCACTCTCCTGCTGGACTTCTGCATGCATTCTTTTTACTCCTGCAGCTTTTTTCTTTTGGGGGTTGTTGGGTTTTTTGATTCACAAAACACCATGACCAACAATATCACCAGGCACTTATTCCAGGATTATGAATGGGAGCTGGATTTACATTTTTGTGACCTTAGGGTTTTTAAAGATGGACCTTTTTGCCACAGCCACCAACAGGAAGTGCAATACATTCTTCTTGGGAGGAGGGAGGGGTCCTCACTCATTGGGGGATGTGTTGCTCATTCCTTGGACGAAGGGCCTTCTCGATGCATATCCTGCACTACTGTTGATTTTGAGAGTGTTTAAGACGGTCAAATATGACTATGCCAGGGCCATTTTGTTGTCCAAGGGTGTCTAAGACAAGTCTGGTACCCTTAGGTGATTCACCTTGCCTCTTTCTTAGTGTTGTCTTTTTTGTCCATTCCCCACCTGTTGTCTTAGGACACTATTTGGACTCTTCAATCCAATCTGGGAATTCTTCATCTCAGAGCTTGGTTATTCAATGGTTCTTGGAGATAGAGGCTTCCCGTTCTGCAGAGGTAAAACAAGTAGTGTTAAACAGTATGAAGATGTCCACACAAAACACTTAGCTTCAGAAATGGAAGAGATTTCACCACAGGTTTATCCAGTGATAGTTTTACCCTGTTAACACTTTTCCTCTATGATTAGTCTTTGGAATTGAAAAAGTCAAGATTCTCCATGAGTTGTGTCAAGATTCACTTGGTAGCAATAACTGACTTTCATTCCTCCGTTGAGGGATTCTCAGTGTTTCCTCACCCCCCTAACAGCAAGATTAATTAAGGGGCTGATGAACCATTTCTCCACCAATTAGAGAGCCCACCCTTTTATGTGATCTACACTTGGACCTTATTTGTCACATGGACCCCCCCTTTGATCCATCACCTGGAAGATGGCTTTCCGGGTGGTATCACTTCTGCATGAAGAGTTGGGGAACTAGGGGTGTTATCGGGCATGCACCCCACATTGGCCCATCGAGAGCTGGGTGGGACCAGATGGTTCTAAGCTACTAATTAGGCTGCAAGGCAGAGAGTTAATTGATGAGGAACAGGCTCACCTGGATAGGACATGTGGGGCCTGTAGAAAGCTAGATTGCTGGAGAGGGGCATGGCAACTAGGGAAGGGCAGTCACTCCATGGAAGGAAGGAGTGTTTGTGGCTGCAGGAAGGCAAGCTGCTCAGACTTCCTGAGAGAAGGTAATAGGGAAGATGGCGAACCCAGAGAGCGGGGGAGCCAATTAGGTAGGAAAAAGCTTGGAGAAAAAGCAGCAAGGTCACAGACAGGCAGGCCTAGGCTATATATAATAGGGTCTCTGGGCTGGAACCCAATGTGGAGGGTGGGCCTGGGTTCCCGTACCAGACACTGGGTAGTGACTCGGGACGCTGGAGATGCCTGCCAGACAGCTGGCCTGGAAAGACTTTGATTTCCCCAGAAGGGGAGGGACTTGGTAACTTGGCGAGAGTGCCAAGCCATGGACTGGAAGTGGCAGCAATGAGAGCAAGAGAGGCTGCCTACAGAGAGAAGAGGAGGGTGCAGCTGAGAGCGACCAGCAGGAGGTGCCGCGAGTACATAGGGAACCTGTCACAGTGGGGCTTTAATTTAGTCTCTCCCATTACAGTATTCTTCAGGAATAAAGTTTCATTACGACCATGTTCTAAGTTTCTCCCAAAGGTATCTTCTGAATTCCATATTGACCAGATTATTCAGCTTCCAGTCTCCTTCCTGAAACCATACCAGACCAGGGAGGGAATTGTTCTCCATGCTTTGGATGTCAGAAGGGCATTAACCTTCTGTCTGGAAAAAACTAAACCCTTTTGAAAGTCTCCCAGACTGTTTGTTTCATTTATGGACAGATCCAGGGAATCCACAGTCTCCATTAAAAGTTTCTCAAGGTGGATCTCTTCTGAGGTGCTAGCCCATTCTGCAAGATCCCAGTCTCTATCTAGAGCATTACTGAAAGATGTTCTAGTGGCTGAAAAGTGTGGAGCGGCAGCCAACACTATGCGTTGCTTCACGCAACCAGATCACATGCTGTAATTGGCAAATGAAGTTGTGTCTTCAGTATAGGACTCAAATCCAAAGCTCTGTTACCTTCCCTCCTTCACCTGTGCTTCTGAGTTTCATCTTGTGGGCCTTCATGGTAGAGAAGGAACTGAGGGCAGTTCCCCAGCACAGCTCAATGTATTCTTGGTACCGGGCACGAGGATGTCTGGAGCACATGAATGTGCCGAATGGGTACAGCTACTGAATGTCTCCAATCAAAGGCACATGAGGTGCATGCACAACTGAAGTGGAGTACCCATAGGGATGCAACTCTTGAAGAACTGCAGTTACTGCACAAGATGAGTGATCTCTCCTTCTGTACAGTTTCTTTAACTCCGGCGCTGGTAACTTTTCAATCAAAGAATCTTTTCAATCAAAGAACATCAAAGAAAATCTGTAGTTTGAAGTAGGACCTACCTCTTTTCCCCTCATCTTCTAGGAATTTCAGGATGATGTTCCATCTGACCCAGTAGCTACTCACCTCCTTGCTTTCACTTCCCCATATGATCTTCAACCATGGATTGATTTATAAAGCACAAATCTTAATCCTAAATGTCCATTTGATAGTCAAGAGATTCTCTTTTGTGCAGCTGCTCATTGGGAATCTCCCCAGCAGGTATTCTCCTTAATCCTGCAAAAGGCACAGGTTATAAATGACAGGCTAGTTGTCTCTTGAGTAATCCTGAAAATATGGCCAAAATGATTAAATCTGACCAGGTGACAAGGTAACAGGTGAAGATAAGAAATGTAAATGCAATGCAATGAATAAAGGGGGAGGCAGTAGAGGAATACAAAGGAGGGGGAGAAAAATGAGCTACGATGATAATTTTCAATGCATGGGGAGCAATGTGGAGACACTAGAAAAAAGGATATTGCAGTAGTCAAGAGGCTATGGATGACTTTTAGCTGTTACCACCTATAGCTGCTCCTTAAAACTTAATTCCTACCTTCATCCAGCATTACTCTCTTGACTGGCAGCTGATACCTATTTCAAAAAAGCAATAGTGCAAGGCTTTACACTAAAAATGCTTAAAGGAGAAATGCTATTTGCTTGAAACTGACTCATTGAGTAGATTGTCCAAATACATCCACCCTCCCCACTTCTTCAGAGTCTCTGATATGGATTCTGAAGAAGTGGAAGTAACTCTCTTCTGCAAATGAGCACATACATGACCTTAATGCTTCCTGCTTTCCAGGGGGTTTTGACTGTGGTGCCAAGGTCATACACACTCTCGAGAGTGTGACTCTGTGCTAAGAAATTTTGAAAAAAACAGTTATTTACTATTAACCTTCCTTTTCGACTTGTACCGTGGTTTCCACATTGAATAACCAGTCAGAATACAGGCTTTCCTAATGTCATCCTATTATCTAATATATTTTTATTTGTGAACTTTTACAGATATGTATAAACAGGACATGTGTCAATATAAAAATTCTGGATTACGATTGTAATTACACAAAATGCAGTAACAGAGGGGTAAGTAGGAAAGATTTTAACATCCTCAGATTTTCAGAGTATAATACGGAGAGCACTGAACTTAGTCTCTTACAAGTGATGCTTCACATTAGACTTAATAAGATTATTTTAGTTGGACAAGATCTTAAAAAGCAGTAATTAAAGTATTTTGAGAAGGAATCTTATCAACTATACACCATCTGATGTAAAGCCACATATGACACATGATACAGTCAGATCTGCAAAATAGCCAGATCTCATGCCATTTGGGATTTAATTGCCAATAAATTATTTCTATATGTTGCACTGACAGTCAGCTGGGGAGTCAGTGCAGAACAAGAAACTTGGGTGTTACATTCTCATAGCACAAGATTAAAGTTTCTTGGAGTCTTCAACAATAGCCCTAAGTGGAGCATAATACATGATAGGATTTAGAAATTGTAGAGGGTTGCACACTTCATTGCTTCCAGAAGCAAGCTCAGTGCTCGCACTATCTTGCATCCCTTTTTTAGAGAGTGAACTGCTGCAGAGGGGAAGGGGGGGAAAAAAACCCAAGCAGCTGTCTCCAGTTAAGAAGTCCCCTCAGAGCCTCATGGGTATGAGAGAGTTTTAGACCTACATAAGCTAGATTCAATTCATTCTAAGGAAGGAGAGAAAGGTGTGATGACACTATAGAAGACTGAGATGCTGAAGCAGTACTTTTGGAAATAATTTTCCTAATACATTTACTAATGTTCACCATAACTTAGCTTCTACTCAAGTATTCCTTTATTAGTCTAAAGGCCAGTTGGTGTTTGATTACATTCAAAACACAAATACCAGCATATACACATTTATATTTTAGCAATGATATAGTTATAAGCCGTGCACAAATATGCACAATAGGATCAGACTTGGGTGATACCTTCCCAGCTCCTGGATTAAGCAGTTCTTTATAATAAATCAGTATATGTAATCAATAATTTACTGCACCTGGTACCCAATTAATTATGTTTTCTTTATTTTTAAAGAATTATTTACTGCATCTGAACCGAAACCTTAAATAAGATAATACTGTTATTTCCAGGGTCACTACAAATTTAACATGAACGTCCTTTCTTCTCATTTCAGCCTCTTTTCTTCTCATTGTGTTTGGTCACAAGCTTTGGGCCTGTCACTTG